GGCATAATTAATGGCTTAAAACAGAAGGAGGGAAATGCAGTTACAATTCTGGAATGTTGGTTTCTTTCTTTCTTTCTTTCTTTCTTTCTTTCTTTTTTTTTTGGTTTTTCGAGACAGGGTTTCTCTGTGTAGCTCTGGCTGTCCTGGAACTCACTCTGTAGACCAGGCTGGCCTCTGCCTTCCAAGTGCTGGGATTAAAGGCGTGCGCCACCACTGCCCGGCTGAATGTTGGTTTCTTTAAGAAACACAGAGATATCACAAGAATGTTTTCATTTTAATCTCAGGTTTGGGATATGGGGCTGCTTCAGACTGTCCACAGCAGCTGACTATGATTTGCCTTGTGCTCTAGCAGAATCATGTTTTTGCCTGCTGCAGATATAGCTCCTGCAATTGTGTGACATTTAGAATTCTGGGGACTTTTCAGAGGGTATATAAATGCTAGAGCCTGGAGAGGTGGAAGGTTTTGGTGCTTGTTGGTTGAGGCTTGTTAAGTAGTCATTCGCAAAGAAGCAGCAAGAAGAAATTAGTTATCTTGGTGACAAAGATCAAATTTGCCCAAAGGAACTCAACATCCTTAATCAGCAGGAAGTAGTCTAAGTAACATTGTGCTCTTTCTGAGCAGATTTTATTCAGGGATCTCTTTCCTTATCCTTTTTTCTCTTTTATCTAGTGTTAGGGGGTTGAAATGGAAGAAAAAAAGAGTCAAGAGTGGAAGAAAGAAGAACACATAAGGTAACAAGACAAGCTACAGAAATCAGCCTCAAGTCCCTGGATCAAATACCTGAGTTGTGCATCTGTCAGGGACTCTCCTGAGTCTGTTCTGGGAATAGTATCAACAAGCCCTTTCTAGTTGTGTAGACTTTCCTTCCCAGTACTGGGGGTGAGCACAGTGCCTAGAAATGATCTTCCCACTCACCATCCTAAAAGTTCCTCATTCATGTTTAGCATTACATATTTTAAACTCTTAAAATGCAGAAAACAATAAACATGGATTCTACCTAAGAAAATATATAAGACTAAATCATGAAAAACATCTGGCAGCAGAGATGTTAAGGACCAAAACAGGGAGAAGGCAAGGGAGGTAACTACTTGACAGAGCACTTGGGTGCCAATAGTCAAAGGATGGTCTTCAGAACTCACCCCTTGTAATCCCATCCCAAGGGCAACTTTGCATCAGAAACTTGTAAAATTCTGGGTGGCTAATTTCCTTTGTTTTTATTTTTTCGAGACAGGTCTTTGTATATTCTTGGCTGTCCTGGAATTTGTCCTCTATACCTATTTGTGCTGAACAACGGGGTACAACATCACCACTGCCCAGAATGTTTGTTCATTTTGATACAGGGTCTCACTGCATAGACCAGCCTGGCTCAAATTCACAGTGACCTGATTGCCTCCACTTCCTAACTGCTAGGATTAAAGGTATGCACAAATATACCTCTGGCTTAAGGGCCAGCTGTTATTAAATCATATTCTGTTACCTGGGCAGAAGAGGAAATGAATGAGCCTGGCCTAGGTAAATCCATCCAGGCAGATTTGTGAACCAGCGAAGATGAATGAAAAAGACTGCAAGTGATTTAGTACAGCATAGCAATATCTATGTAGTAACAAAAAACACTTGTAACCTATGAAAAAACTCTGCCATCAAGATATCTAATTTCTTCTTGCTGCTTCTTTGAGCATGACTACTTAACAAACCTCAACCAACAACAACCAAAAATCCTCCACCTCTCCAGGCACTAATATTTATATGCCCTCTGAAAAGCTCCCAGAATTCCAAATGTCACACAATTGCAGAAGCTATATTTGCAGCAGGCAAAACCATGCTTCTGCCAGAGCATGAGGCAAATCACAGTCAGCTGCTGTGGACAATCTGAAGCAGCCCCATATACCACACCTGGGATTAAAATGAACACATTTGGGCTGGAGAGATGGCTCAACAGCAAAGAGCACTGACTGTTCTTTCAGAGGTCCTGAGTTCAATTCCAAGCAACCACATGGTGGCTCACAACCATCTGAAATGGGGATCTGATGCCCTCTTCTGGTATGTCTGAAGACAGCGAGTGTCTTTTATGTATGTCACATACATAAAATAAATTTTAAAAAATGAACACATTCGGGGCTGGTGAGATGGCTCAGCGGTTAAGAGCACTGACTGCTCTTCTAGAGGTCATGAGTTCAAATCCCAGCAACCACATGGTGGCTCACAACCATCTGCAATGAGACCTGATGCCCTCATATGGGTGTCTGAAGACAGCGACAGTGTACTTACAAATAATAAATAAATAAATCTTTAAAAAAAAAATGAACACATTCTTGTAATTTATATTTCTGTGTTTCTATGGAGCCAACATTAGCAAACAAGGCACCAAGAAGAGAACAACTGTATAGACATACCAGGGGTCACTTCAGGGAGAACACAAATAGGGTTTCAGTGTCTCATTTTATTCCTTTATGGGAAATCTGAACCAAATTGCTTAGTTTTCAGTCTGAAGGAGAGTTCTAAGGTGTTTATTCTCTTAGAGTGTTTTTTTTTTTTTTACCCCAAAACATTTGTTTATTGAAGTCTCTAATCTTAAGTTCATGTATATGCTTTTGAAACAGGGTTGTTATATAACATTGGCTGGCCTGGAACATGCTATGTAAACCAGACTGGGTGCTCAAACTGGCAGCAATCTTCCTGCCTCTTTCCTTTGAGTGCTAGAATTATAGGTATGCACCACCATGTACAGCTTTTTCAAAACAAAGATTAAGTTTCACAGGACTATATAGCAAGGCCTTGTCTCTCAAAAAAACAAGCACATACTGGCTTCAACTAAATAGCCTTTCAAGACTTTTCTCAGGCTAGAAATGTAGCTCAATGGCTAAATGCCTGCCTAGTATATGTGAGACCCTAAATTCAATCTAGTACTACACACAGAAGTCAGGGGAGGGAGGAAAATCAATCTGTCTAGCCCCATGTTAAGGTGAAGGGTAAGAGGCTGAAGAAATGGCTCATCAGTCAAGGCACTGGCTGCTTCCAGAGATCAGGGTTTGATTCCCAGCATCTATTCAGTAGTTCACATTTTATAATTTCAGTCTCAGGAGAACCATCTCCTTCAGCCTCCACAGGCACCATAGGTACGTGGTATACATATGCATACAAGCAAAACACACATACACATACAAATTAAAAGACAAGACAGGTAGTGGTTGTGCACACCTTTAATCCCAGCATTCAAGAGGTAGAGGCAGGCAGATCTCTGCGTTGGAGGTCAGCATGGTGTACAAAGCAAGTTCCAGAACAGCCAGGGCTACACAGAGAAACTCTTTCTCAAAAACTTAATGGTTAGCCGGGCAGTGGTGACGCACGCCTTTAATCCCAGCACTTGGAAGGCAGAGGTAGGCGGATTTCTGAGTTCGAGGCCAGCCTGGTCTACAGAGTGAGTTCCAGGACAGCCAGAGCTACACAGAGAAACCCTGTCTCAAAAAAACAAAATACCAAACCAAACCAAACCAACAACAAAACCCTTAATGGTTAAGTTATTTATACAGTGAGTTCCAGGCCAGCCAGGGGTACAGAGTGAGGCAGAAAGGAAGGAAAAGAAAAAGAGTGATCAAGGACACAAAAGGTTCCATCTATCAGACAAGGTGCAGATCAGACAAGGAGGGACCTGGTCAGACCTGAGGGACTTCATGGTCAAGGTGTCTTCTTTCATTCTAATACAAGTGTCTGAGGCTCAACCTCAGGCTGGTACTGCTATAACTAGGCACCGTGTTCCAGCCCTAAGATCTTCAAAATGACACCCCAAGAACACATGGATTTTGTAGTAGCCCAGGACTGAATCCTCATTACAGTAGTGAGGGAAACACAGACACCAAACAGGACTTGAGAACTTGAACTGATCATCCTAGGTCACACCCGCTCTTACCCTGCCATCAGGAGTGCTTGCATGAGTGTGTAGAGAGCAACTCATGAATTCCCCCAGAAACCACATCTGGAGGGCCAGATAGTTAAGACACAGCAGGATGGATCCTACCAAGAAATGCTGGATCACAGATAAACTGGGCCAATAACAGCTAGGAGCTGTTCTTATACCAGCCATAATCACACACTCAGGAAGATTATATAGATCATATCTCTCAGAAATATAAATGGCCAGGACAAAAGGTAGACAGAGATAGAGCTACCTAGTCGAGACCAGTAGGGCTTATCCCTGTGTAAGAGCTGAGCTATCTAGATGCCCTCCACACTACGCATTTCTTTTAAGCTAATTCAGGACAGAGGCATGTTGTTAAGGTCTCACACTCAATCAACAGGTGCCACATATGCCAGAACCAGTTTCATATAGCCCCCAATATGTGGTGCCCCAGGTCTTGTTAACACTGAACTGGAAATGGGGCCTGCCCAAATACTCACTATGAAAAGGATGAGCAAGCAAGTATGAAGAACAGCAGGGAAGCTTCTAGAATCTACAAGTAGAAGTTAGAGATGTGTCAAGCCAGAAAGATGAAATAGCAGAACTAGTATTCATAATCCAGTGGCTTGGTTTGGCTGGTAAGACCAGAGGGCATAGGTATACCTGCTCTGGAGTAAAAACTGGAGCTGTGAGACAAGAATTCAACCACTAGGAGGCCAGACACACTGTGAGGGAGCCAGAGACTCCTAACTGCCCTTGGCTTAGACTAACAGGTCTGTCCATGTCCCACCTCCCTGAAGGTCTATATACCCTCGGCTGTCCTGGAACTTGCTATGAGACCAGCAGACCAGGCTGGCCTACAAGTCACAGAAATCCACTTGCCTTAGCAGGGATTAAAGGTGTAAGGGACTAACAGGTGCTTTCCATCATTCTGGTCATGAGACTCAGAAATGAGGTATTAGAACTGAGGGAGGGGTACTCACAGCTGGACCAGGAAATGAGGGTCAGCCCAAAAGGGACCCAGCAGGGGCCAACATCAGGTGCCATTTCAGTGCCAAATTCACAAATGGTATTTGGCAGGAAATCACTAATAAGACACTTATCTGGTCTGCAGTGAAAACATTTATTATACAACAGCTATCTTTATTTTAGGTCAACATTTAGACAGGTCACCATGCGGAACCACCATAGCTTTCAGCTTGGCCCCTGAAGGGACACCAGTCAGCCAGAACTGACAGAAGCTTGTACCCTGCTGTAAACAAGACTTTAGCAGTGGGTAAAAGTAGTACAGGCTTTACATGCACTTGCATTTAGCTCTTAGAAACTCTTACGTGAAAATTTCTTTCCCCAACTTAGTATTGAGACACTTTCCTAGAGAACATGTCAAAAGCACACCCTATGGGGCACTTGACCCAGGCCCTTCCTTCCTTAGCAACATAGAGATCCTAACCAGGCTATCCTTTACATGAACCTAGATTACTGATTTTTAACCGGTACTCATAAAACTGGTCTTAGTTTTCAAGAGAGAAAAGTTTCTAGTCATGTCCTAGACCCTCATATCCTTGAAGGTCAGGTGACCTTCACATGGTTCCCAGGGATATATTTGGTATGGTCATCCTTCTAGCCACATAAATAACTGAAGCCAATGCTGGCCAGGGCTTATGCGTTCAGGTCCATGTATGTATACAATAAACTTAGGGTTTCCTTTTGTGTTTTGCCAGGAGACCCTACCCCTGCCCAACGCTTCAAGAAATCACAGGCTGTTTTGGAGCTGACTTTTATTGTACTTGTTGCTTTGCCACCAAACAGAGGCATGACAGGCCTGCTGTGTGATATATACATATACACATATGTACACACACCGACACACACCACAACCCACACTCACAGCATGTGACAACACACACTATGCTTGTGAGGACAGTAAAGATGTAGATTTTGCCACTTCCATAGGAGGATAATTCAACCAAAATAAAAAGGAACAGGCCAGTGCTGGGACACATGGGTTCACAGCTCAAAATACTGGAAAAAAAGAGTACGATCAGTCACGGTTTACACTGTTCACAGCTGTAGCTCAATAAAAGGTGCACTGAAGGCCAAAGGAAGATGCTCATGGCCCACCAGTTCTCTGTACCACAGCACCTACACTCTCCAGGGACAGCTTGAACGATTAAGTCACTATCTCTGGAGACTGCAACACTGGCAGCTCCTTTGCACAAGGTTCACCTGTAATAGAAGCCATGGGTCAGCAGGACAATGGGTACTGACAGAGATACATCTGAGAAGAGACTGGCTTTATGATTCAGGAACAAATCCAGCAACTAACTTGGGAAAAAAAGCTTTCTAACCACAGTAAGCACTGGTTTCTTTTGTTTTTTTCTTAAGACAGGATTTCTTTGTGTGTAGTCCTGGCTGTCCTGGAACTAGTTCTGTAGACCAGGCTCACAGAGAGCCACCTGCCTCTGCCTCGCAAGTGCTGGGATTAAAGGTATTTGCCACCACCACCCAGCCTGGTTTTTCCCCATTGGGTGCTGGCTGTGTTAACCGAACATTAGAAGGGTAGGAAAGGCCATAAACATTGCACAAATCATCTAAAGTAATTTTAAAATACAGTCAAAAGGAAGACAAGGAAAGACATCACTGGGCACAAACAGAAATCTACACTCCAGCAGCCTTGATAGATGGGCCCCAAAGGGTCTCTCCCAACTACGTTCTGTAGGTCAGAAGTGGTCAGTGTCTGGTCCTGAAGGGGTATCCATTGCACAGGATGAACTTCCATGCACAGATTCCAGCACTCCCTTGACAACACACCACAGTACTATCTACATTGCTTCCCAGTATAGGAGTTAGGGGAGTGTTTATTATTTAATATTCATATTTGGACAGGAATAGTCAAGGCTGATCCTGAGACTCACCAGTTCTTAGCTTAGGGCAAATGAAATCAAGGAGACCTTAGATCAACATAGTAAAACCCTGCAAGGGAGTCTGTACAGGGACAGGTCAGGTAATTTACTGGCTGTGGCAATCACTATTATCACCTTGAACTGTTCTACATATGGAGGGTTTCAAGTTCAACATGATTTATTTAGCTTTACAAATTCCAAAAGACACTAGGCTCAAAACTTCTGTGCTCTCACCCTAACAGCACCACAAGTCCCAGTTCAGGACCTGGCTTACTAGGATGTGAAGGAAAGGGCCACAGAGCTAACATGCAGGAGGGATGTGCTACCCGATTGCAACTTATCATCTACAACTCTGGACCTGGTTCCTGGTCATTGTGAGAGAAGGACACCAAGACTAGTGTGCAGGGACCAATACCCCAGATTGCCCAGTAACTTCTCTTCTTCCTTTGTTCCAAATATGGGCCAAGCAATGGATTTCTCATTCTTCTTTTAGGTTGTTTTATTTGAGTCAGGGTCTTATTGTATAAGCCCAGACTGGTCTATAACTCAAGGTCCTTCTACCTCAGCCTCCCTAGTGCTGGGGCTATAGCCATGTCCTACTACATCTAGACATAGGTCTGATGTTTACAAATTACTTTTAACTGAGTATGTTAGTGAATATCCCTAAAATCCTTTAAAGAACGAAACTAACAAATCCATGGAAGGACCTTGAAACCAGCTTTTGGCTCATGTAGTTCTGTAGGGTCAACTGGGAACCCTGGAATCAGTGTCTCCCAGGACCTGGATGGGTTCGCTCATTCACTGCCAAGTTTGTCCTCACAATGCTGCCTCTTCTTGTAACTTCCTGACAACCTGATCTGGTCCCTGAAAGCCCTGGTGAGCTGGGGCCAGGAGGTAGACGGGGTGGACTTCAGAAACACATGATGGTTTGTCTGGGCCACTGAGCCACCACATGAGCCTTCTCCTTCTTCATCTGGACTGGAAATGCAGATGGGCAGCAGCAGTCAACGGGACGGTTCTGGAGGAACCTGCCTCATTGTAGTCTGGTACAACTATCTAGCTAACTGTAAAAGGGTAGGGTGGCTCCAAATCCCTGGTAACCACATTTTTCAACTCCACCCACCATAGTACCCTAGAACCAAGACTGGAATACTGACTGCAGAGAGGTTCGTTCACAAAGGAATTCTGTGGCCTGGAGCTGGCCTCCCAGGTTGAGTGACTACTACCAAAGCTTCCCTAGAAGCCAACCCTTCTGAGCCAGGAGCAATAGGGTCCAGCCACCTGCTCCAGGAACCCAACACTCCAGCTCTGCCAGAGGCATTGATGATGACAGGTGGAAGCGAAGGCAAGCGGGGTGGATGGAGCACTGGCAAGCACAGGGAGGAGGTTCTGGATCCTGGGCACTCAAACGCTTTATAAGCAGCTACATGCCACCCACAACTAGACTCAAGAGACTTTCTGACTATGACTAAGTGGCAGATGCTGCCATTTGTGGTTCTTAAAAGTCCAAAAAAGATTAAAAGGTTGGCTTGAAGGAATGTGGAAGATGACCCAGGAATGAGGGAAGGAGGCTGTGGCCCCGTCAATCCAGCTTTTGACCTGGAAAGGTGCAGAACAGAGACAAATGATTTCCCACACACCAGCAAGAGACATGCCTCCAATGATAGGATTTCAGTCCATAAGGCCAGGAGACCCAAGATAGTGACATTACAGAGTGTGCTCCCACTTTGAGAAGGGGCATACCTGCACTCTCCATAGCAGATCTAACAGGAAAACTGTCACGAGGCCGAGTGAGATGATGCAGAGACCCTATGAAAGCTTCCCAACACGAACACCGTGCAAACGACTGATGCTGGTGGTGCCTGGAAGACGGGGCCCAGTTCCCTCCTTTGCAGGTGAAATCAGAGCCCTGTCTGCAGCCTTGAGGATGAGATCAGAGCCATGGACTAGACCATATCACAGGACACAGAGGCCAACAAGGAGATGTAGCTCCAGGTGCTTACCTGACTCCTGTAAGCACAAGGAGACAGCTGAACTTTCACTGGACCCACTTGGGTGAAAATCCAAAAAAGCACTACCATCCAGTTAATTCAGCCCAGCTGTAGCACGTCCACAACACAGACACTGAACATAACCCATACATGCTATTAAAAAAAAGGATAAAACAGAAGAAGACCGTAGCTACACTGCTTTAAATACTGCATGCTACGCACTTCATGTATCAAGGATTGACAGATGGGTGGACTTAGAGGAGGTGGGAGTGGCCCTGACCAGTCACAACAGGTCAGGTTGACGGCTGCCTTCCCATCTCAGTGACTACAGTTCATGATTCTAAGGTTGCAGTGGCCAGATGCTGATTTATCCTCTAATCACAGCCTCTCCTGAATTTAGTTGAACCCGTCGGTGTGATAGCTGGGGTGGGAGTCAGCTGTCAGCTGGGTGGTCTCTGTGGCAGATGCTGGCTGTATGACGATCGGTGTGTCTGTAGCCTCTGAAAAGTAAGCAGACAACCTCATCGCACAAGGGCAGCAGCGGTACTGTGTGCCAGTTGACATGGTCCTTGCATCACATCATTCAGCCACCTGGACAGACACGCAGGGGAGAGGCTACTTGTTGACCTCCCCCAACACACTTTCCTCAGTGGTCTCAGGTAACACCAGCCCCCGGCCCTCCCCACCTGCCTGCCTCCCACCCCACCTTTGGTCCCTCAGATCTACGGCTACCAGTTCATGGGCAGGAACAGCTCCCTGCACCTGCTTTACCTCAAGTGTCCACGTTCACACCTCAACAGTCCCAGATGCCACCACAAACACTCTCGGCACAGTGTCAGTGCCCTCCTGTTTGACAAGACAGTTGACACCGTTCAGGGCCAGTGCTGGCTCCACCCCACACACTCACAAGGCCCTGGGCTGGGCACTCACCCCTTTCATCAGACTGCAGCTGTGCCTCCAAGTCTTCAGGGGATACGTAGAATTCTGTCTCTTCACCCTCAGGTGCCTTGGGCTTGCATTTCCCACAGCAGCAGTTAAAGCAACAGCACAAACAGCAGCAGCAGTAGCAGCAGGTGAGGAGGCCACAGACAACGAACAGCGCCTGGGAGAGAGAATACTGGCTGGCACTATGTGGCCTCAAGGAGAAGATAGGTCAAGAGCTGCAGTGTATACAACTAATGCTAAGGGTATCTTTCAGGAAAAGGCTGTAGCTAAGAGAGAATTTGCAGGGTGAAAAGGAAGCAGAAGCAATAAAAAGTAACTTGTAAAGATGGGACTGAGCACAAGTCATGAGCTTCTCCTGGTCTGACTACCTCTCTGAAACCAGGAAGTGTGACTTTCCCTTTTCTCTTCTATTTCTTTTTCATTCAAATGTTGGCTAAAGCCTAAGTATGTTTCCTCCTTTGAAGTCCAAAGTATGGTCCTCTGGACTTCCTTACTCTTTCTCTGAAGCCTCGCTCTCAGTGCAGCTTACCCTCCACACTGAACTCAAACGGCATGGTTCTCTCCTTTAGGTTCCACTTATAAATATCTCTAATGGACTTCCTTCTAAAATGATAAAGATTGAAGACTAACCAGTAAATGTCCCAAATCACAAAATATGGCTACCTATACCTAAGAACTACAGGATAGTTTACTCTGGCTTTGTATAAGGCTGACAGATGAGGGAAGAAAAAAAGGCTATTAAATAAATGATGTTAAGTCAAGAGTTTCTAAAGTAAGATTTTAAGTCTCCCATGCTAAAAAAAAGCACATCCACCCAAATCTCAATCTTTTAAAAAAGTTGGTACATGCATCAGAGACAATCATGTTAATGCAAAGGGTTCTGCTCCATGTATGCTGGGTGCTGTGCTTGTCATGAATAGGCCAGCGTAACAGCTGCAGAACACACAGAAGACAGCCCCAGGCCAGAAACCATGTCAAGGGATTGAAGGAACAGGACTTTCAATGTCTGATGCCCTACTATGAACTAGAATTTTCAATGCCTTCAGTGTGGCAGCTCACCTTGGCCCACCAGCTGGAGAGTACGAAGTAGGTGTTGACGTTCTCCTCCCCAAACTGCTCAGCCACATAGAGCCCCAGCGAACCATACTTGTCATAAATATTTCTTTTCGTGGCGTCTGTCAGGATGGCGTGGGCGTTGTTAATCTCCTTAAATTTGTCTGCAGCCTCTGGGTTATCAGGGTTCTTGTCAGGGTGATATTTCAGGGCCAGTTTCCTGTAACCAAAACCATTTCCTGGCTCTACCTTGGTCTTACACTTCTCATTTGTCCACCAGAATCCAGGGAAAGAGATACTTACCCATTACCATCTCATTTGTCAACTTTCCAGAGATCTGGTTCATCAGAGTCAAAAGAAGTCTCTAATTGCTTTAGGACAATCCTTTCTATTAGAAAACACCCACAAGGATGAGTCCTGAGGTACTAAGTATGGGTAGGGCACAGCTTATAGCACTCACTCCTGCCAACCCTTAGTGTCCTGGTATGTTAATTGCACATTTGAAAAATAAGGTGATTGCAGAGAAAAGTGTAATATTGATAATTTAGAACAACACAAGTAGAGGACCCCAGGAATATCTGAAGTGAAAATGCCCCACCTCCTTTCTGGGTTACTGTATGGTATTACACCTAAGAGATACATTCAAGTTCAGTCAAACAGCAATGAAAAAAAAAAAAAAAACCACCACTGTCTTAAAATACAGCAATTATCACTTTAAAGGCTCTGTCTATGCCCAGGGTTCAGATCTTGACCCTGTGGTCTGGGGAGAGCTGGCGATATCTTTAAGTGTGTTTCCTTTCTGCTGCTAGAGAACATCAGTGTACAGCTTTGCTGTTGTTTGAGAAAGGGTTGTTCTACATAATCCTGGCTGTTCTAGAATTCACTACTTAGACCAGGCTGGCCTCACTCACAGATATCCTTCTGTCTCTGCATCCCAAGGGCTAGGATAAAAGGTATTCGCCACCATGCATGGCCAGTGTAACAGTTTTAAGTCTGAGGATTAAACTATGAACGCAAGGATAAAATGCAACTGTTAAAGAGTCTGCCAAGAAAAATGTATGCCATGGTTCTTGTAAAATTATACAAGAAGTCATATGAGGATTTGTGTTCTTCCAGGCCAACACAGCTGCTTACCGATAGGACTTTTTAATGTCATCCGAGGTTGCATTCTTGTCCAGTCCAAGAACATGGTATAACGATTCCCCGGAAGTAGAGAGTGAGCGCTGCCTCTGGTCAGCCATGTTAGATTAGTCTACAAAAGAAGATAAAGGAAAATATGGAGAAAATGACAAAACCTAGGCCTGAGAGACGTGATAAGGGCACTGCTGTCATACTTGCCAAGTTAAACTTGACCCCCAAAACTCATATGGTAGGAGAGAAGAAGTAACTCCTAAAAGTTGACCCTGAGCTCCTCAAGTGTGCTGTGGTATGTGTCCCTTTTCCACCCCACAAGTAAATATGTGGGGGCTGGCGTCTATACTACATATAAAATGTTACAACTATTTAAATGGGGTTCAGAAAATAAAGTTTAAAGGAAAAAAAAGCAAAAAAGTATGCCTATAATCCCAGCTATGTGGGAGGCTGAGGCAAAAGGATCTCCAGTCAGAGATCAACCCTACACTCGCCCTCACCCACATTTAAAAAAAAAAAAAAAATCCTGTCTTAGAAAACCCACAAAAAACATAGAAATGGAAGGAAATAATAAAAAACATGAACAAAATGAATCAATCATGATGAAAATATTTCATGAACTTTTCAGAAGACCTTCAAGCAGCTGCAAAGCAAACTCTGAAAACCAGAATATATGTTTCAAAGTTACTTGGGCATTTTTATTTTCACTAAACACTTATTTAGCTGGAGTTATACATGGTTGTTAGCTACCCAACATGGATGCTGGGAATGCAACTCGGGTCCTCTCTGCAAGGGCAGTACAAACAACTACTGAGCCTTTTCTCCAGCCCCAACCTTATCCATCTTTTAATATAATCCCTTATTTGTAACCTTCAAAATATCTTTTCTGAGGCATCAAACTGAGACTACCTGTAATCCCTGAAACCAAGCTAATAGCTATAATCTGGTGCAAACCCATGCAGGCCCTGCGTTTGCTATTTCAGTTTGTGAGCATATGTCAGCTCTGCTTAGCTGATTCAGTCCATCATGGTCTCTTGGTGTCCTCCAGCCCCTCTAACTTTATAGTATTTCCTCCCTTCCTTCCTCAGGGTTGCCTTATCTCCGAGGAAGGGACCCACTGGAGACCTCCAATCTAGACTCTCTCACCACATAATGTGGGTCTCTGCATTTGCTCTGTCTGATAATGACTGGACAAGGCACCAATCTATGAGTATAGCAGAATATCCTTATGAACCATTTGCACACCTCCAAAAACAAGCAAACAAAAAGCAAACATGTATGCATTCATTCACTCACTCACTCACTCACTCATTTTTTTTGAAACAGGGTTTCTCTGTGCAGTCCTTGCAGCCTTGGACTGCCTTTGTAGACCAGGTTGGCCTCAAACTCAAAAGATCCACCTGCCTATCTCTGCCTCCTAAGTGTTGGGATTAAAGACAAGTACCACCACCATCTAGCTTAAATGAATAAAGCTTAAAGGAAGATAGCCCAGTGGTTAAAGAATGTTTACTACTTTTCCAGAGGACCCACGTACAATTCCTACCATCCATACTGGGCAGCTCATAGCTGCCTAGCTCCAGGTGGCCTCTCAGGACGACACCTGTACACACACACAGCATATTTACAGAGAGATATGTACATAAATGAAAATTTAAAAGAATTGTGGATTTAGCTTAATGGTAGACTATTATTAGCCTAGCATGTGTTCAATCTCTAGTGCTGCAAAACCAACCAAGCAACTAAAACTAAACAACCACCACATATGATTCCTTCTTACTCAACACTGCTATCCAGAGCAACTAGACAGGTAAAAGAAATAAAGTTCAAAAAAAGAAAAGGAAAAATGAAAGTTGTCCCTGTTTGCAGATATGATTTAAATCAAGAATTGATCCTTTCCCCTTCCATGTGGATCCTGAAAATCAAAATCAAGATGGTCATCAAGCCTGGTGGCAAATGTCTTTGCTCACTGAGCCATCTAGATGGCTTCAACATAATTTTATTTTTAAATTATTATTATTGGTTTTTTTTTTTTTTCCAAGACAGGGTTTCTCTGTGTATCCCTGGCTATCCTGGAATTCACTCTGTAGACCAAACTGGCCTGAGTGCCGGGACTAAAGGCATGTGCCACTACTAGTCAGTTCATAATTTTATATATAGCAAAATATTAAAATTAGACACAAAATCTATATTAATAAAAAAATCAGTAGCACTTTTATACATTAATAACAAACTTGATAAGGTAGTTTAAAAAAAAAAAAAACTAGTACAAAGCTTTGGGTCCAATCTCCAGCACCAAGGTGGGGGGTGGGGGTAGGGAACAGGACCAAAAAACAAAAAAAAAAACAAAAAACAAAAATCCAACCCAGGAACAAACTGAACCAGGAATGTAAATGATCTCTATAATGAAAATGATAAAACACAGATCACAGATGAAAGAAACTAAAGAGAATACATACATAAACATGGAAAAACGTCTGAAGTCCATGGATTGGAAAGATTGCAATCTCAAAAGCAAGTCATCATACAAATAGAAAAAAAAAAGCAATTCTAAATTCACACAGAATCACAGAAGACCCTGAGTAGCCAAAGCAACCTGAACAGAAAGACCAAACCTATCACATTATCCAACCAAAACACTACAAGTCAGGTGATGGTGATATACAACATCCAGGAGGATCTCTCAGTTTGAGACCAGCCTGGTCTATAAAGAGAAACACTGTCTCAAAAAACCAAAAACCAAACCACACAAACTCATAAAGCTAGGGTAACCAAAACAGCAACATAGGGGTTTATATAAAAATCAATACAGAGAACCACGAACAAATAGGGGACAGAAATACATCACACTGACTTTGGCAAAAGCAAAGTTTATTTTGGTTTAGTTTCAGAGGATACACTATTATGACCAGGAAGGCATGACAGTGGAGCATGAGGTAGCTAGTTACACACACTGTAGTGAGGAAGCAGTAGGCAAATGCTGACGCCCAGCTTTCTCCTTTTCAGTCTGAGACCCTAGCCTATGGGATGGTGCTAACTACATTTAGGAATACCTTCCCGTCTATAAATTAAACCTTTCAGCAACCCCAAAGATATATCCAGAAGTATGTTTCCATTGTGATTCTAAATCCAGAAAGCTGTCAATGAAGTTTAACCACTGAAGTTGTTAAAAAAAAAAACAACAAAAAAAACAAAAACAAAACAAAAAAACTAAAAAAAAAAAAAAAAAAAAAAAAAACGAAACAAAAACAGAAAAACAAACAAACAAATCTGTGCTAGGTAAACTGGATGTCAATTATATAGAAGAAAACCTATTTTCAAAATCCTAAAATCCACATTTTCTCACCATATAAAATAATAAGCCGGGCAGTGGTGGCACATGCCTTTAATCCCAGCACTTGGGAGGCAGAAGCAGGTGGATTTCTGAGTTTGAGGCCAGCCTGGTCTACAGAGTGAGTTCCAGGACAGCCAGGGCTACACAGAGAAACCCTGTCTCAAAAAATCAAAAAAACAAAAAAACCAAAAAAAAAAAAAATCACCTCAAAATAAATCAGACCTAAATATAAGGCCTATAATTAATAAACTACTAGAAGGCATAGAGAGATGGCTCAACGAGTAAAGTGCTTGTTGTGCAACATGAGGACCTGTGTTGAGATCTTCAGCAAAACAATTATCTCGGCACTGGGAGGTGAAAAGAGACGGACCCAGCACCTCAGCCAGCATCCAGTCTAGCCAAACAGCATCTCCAATAAGAGACTAATTCTCAAAAAATGAAGTGGACAACTGAAGAAGACATCCCAACATCAACCTTTGGTCTTTATATGTTTCTGCAAAGAGTGTGTGCATATACAACTACTAAGAAAACTCGCCAGGCAGTGGTGGTGCACACCTTTAATCCCAGCACTGGGAAGGCAGATCTCTGAGTTCACTGTCAACCCAGTTTACAGAGCAAGTACCGGAACAGCCAGGGCTACAGAGAAACCCTGTCTCAGAAAAGGAAAAAGAAGAAGAAAACACACGTGGAAACCCCTTCAGGCAACAGTAATATGTATAGACAATGGTTTTTTGATCAGACACCAAACACTGAAAGAAAAAAAAAAAAAAAGCCAAAGCCAAGTGTGCTGGCACATGCCTCTGATCCCCCCACTCATGAACTTGAGGCTGAGGCAGATCAATGAGACAGTGCAATGGGTTCCAGGGCAGCCAGGACCACACACACACACATACACACACACACACACATACACACACACACACACACACACACACACACACACACACACACACACACACACACACACAGTGAGATCCTATCTCAAAAGCAAGCAAACAAAACCCAAAAAGATTTTTACCAAATTAAGCAGTACACAACAAAGGAAACAATTGAATGAAGAGAATTCTTAATGAAGAGAATAGAACGTAGAAAATATCTGCAAATTATTCAGACAAAGTATATAGCTAGTGTGATGGAAACCTTTAATTCTAGCACTTGTGAGGCAGAGGCAGGCTTTGCTGAGTTCCAGGCCAGCCTGTTCCAGGAAAAAAAAAAAATCCAGAACAAAAAAGGAACTCAAGTAACTCAACAGCAAAAATTAACCTTTAAATTAAACAAATGATCTGAATAGATTTTTTTTTTTTTTGGTTTTTCAAGACAGGGTTTCTCTGTGTAGTCCTGGCTGTCCTGAACTCACTCTGTAGACCAGGCTGGCCTCGAACTCAGAAATCCGCCTGCCTCTGCCTCCCAAGTGCTGGGATTAAAGGCGTGCGCCACCACTGCCTGGTCTAGATTTTTTACTTATATATTTTGAAACTACATAACCTGGATGGCCTGAAACTTGCTTGGTAGACCCACCGTTTCCCACTTCTCCAAGTACTGGGTTAAAAGTATTCACCTCTACATCTAGTTTGAATAGATTTAGCACCTTTTATTTGTGTGTGTGCATTTGTGCACACTTCTGAGTTCATGAGTAGTAATTATAAACATTTATCAGCTTATTTTTATGTAACAGCCTATAAGGATACATAGATTCTTAGACTGGACTTGAGCCTATATACACTCCCCTCAATTTCCAGATGATGGAGCTTCAGTTATTAGCAGCTCCTGGGCCTTGGCACATCACTGCT